GTGAGCACCACCATTCAGATACATCCTCTCTTCTTCAGTCTTCGGCACCCATGTCCAATTCTCACATGCATGAGGGGTTGAAAACACCATGGCTCGGCTGAGGCACAAGTAACATCCGTGTTTTCCAATCCTCTAAAGAGGTCTTGTGCAGCAGATTTACCCATTGCTACTTGTCTTTTGATCTCTTTTTAAAAATCTTTTATTGGGGGCTCTTACAGGTCTTATCACAATCCATACATCCATCTATTGCGTCAAGCACATGTGTACGTTACCATAATCAATTTCAAAACACTTTCTACTTGAACCCTTGATATCAGCTCATTACCCCTCCCACTCCCCTCCCTCCCTCGCTCAAGAACCCTTGAGTTATTTTTCATGTCTCACACCAACTGCTGTCTTCCTTCTCTCACTTTTCTGTTCCCCCTGGGAAAGGGTTATATGTAGATATGGTGATTGGTCCCCCTTTCTACCCCCACCTTCCCCTTCCCCTCCTTTTGATCTCTTCACTGTTTCCAGGAGCACTGATTGTGGATCCAGCCGGATTAAATACTTCACAACTTCCACCTTGTCTGTTAGTTTTCTTTACGATGAGTTGTAATCCAAATGGAATGATTCGATCTCTGATCTTCCTCAGCGAGTGCTTCATGTCTCCCCACTTTCAGCAAGCAAGGTGGTGTCATCTGCATATCTCAGGTTGTTGATAAGCCTTCCTCCCATCCTGAAGCCACACCCTTCATCGTATAAATCCAGTTTCTAGGATTATTTGCTCAGCACATAATGAACAAACATTGTGAGAGGATACTACCCTGACTCACACCTTTTGATTTTACATCCTGCAGTGTCACCTTGTTCTGTTGCACAACTGCCTCTTGATTCAGACAGGCTCTGCATGAGCCCAGTCAGTGTTCTGAAATGCCCATTTGTCTCCAGGCTATCCATAGTTTGACTTGGTCCATAGTGTTGACACAGTGGACTGTGTGGACCATAATTCCTCAATGCCACCTACAGTATGAGAAGTTAGATGTCAACCTGACAGTAATATTTTAAAGAAGAGTTACCATTAAAATTGTTCTCATCATGGTCTACCAACAAAGGTGAAGCTCTTGAATGAGTCCCTTGGGAGTATTTTCTCCCCATAAACTTTCAATCGATGCGCTAAGATAGAGCTAGGTAAATTCTAACCCTAATACTAACATAAGTGTGTCTGTTCCCCTCACCTATCTAGGTGTTCAAGGATGGTGGTTCCAATTTTAGGTTTCCTACTTGTGTAACACAACCTCTCAAATGTTTCTCAAAAGATAAATATGATTTAAAAAATGCTCCTGGGGACAAATTTCCACCTGGTGAAAACAACTTCAGTGTAAGGGTAAGTACATGTAAATGTACAGCTGGAATACAAATGAAAGTGCTCATCCATAGGAGTTTAAATCATTCAGATGTAAATCATGCCCACATGTTAAAAAAAGGAATTTCTGA